TTTTTTATGATAAGGTTTGAGTGGTAAATGGCCCAATCTTCTAATTAATCCTAATCAATCTTATTAATTAAATCCTAATCAAACACCAAGAAATCCTAATGCAATGGAAAACCAATTCCCACTTCTTCTTCTCCTTCTCCTCTCATCTTCAACTCTCACCTCCCAATCTCCAAATGCAGCCCCTAACCCTTCCCCTGCCCCCATCAAGGCCGTCAATCTCGGCGGCTGGCTCGTTACCGAGGGCTGGATCACCCCCAACCTGTTCGACGAAATTCCCATCAACAATGATCTCTTGGTAAAACACCAATATTTAACCACTCACCCTATCCTTCTTGACTAAAGCTCACATTTTTACACCAATTTCAGGATGGAACTCAGATCCAGCTCAAGTCCATCACCAAGAACAGCTACCTCTCCACCAACAGTAGCGTTAGCCCAACCATCACTGCAAACCAGTCTTCTCCTTCGGAGCAGGAGACATTCAGAGTTCGCATCTTGCATTCTATCTTTCCAATCATATTTCATTCAGATTGTATATGTACTGAAAAAAAGAAATACTCTACTAATCTTCAGCTATGGCGGATCACTGAAACAATGTTCCAGTTCAGGGTTTTCAACTGGAGATTCTTTGAGCTTGATGAAGATGAGAATTTAGTAGCGATTTCGGCCTCGTCTAACGACTCGGATTCTTCGCATACTTTTGAGGTGGTGAGGAACAATGACGATCGCAATAGAATACGCATCAAAGCGCCTAATGGCTCTTTCTTAGAGGTGTACAGTTGAGACTTGTTCTTATAGGAATTATGCGTTTTTCCATTCTTAAGTTCTCTATGTCCTGCAGGTGAAGCCTGATGGGTTGGTGAAGGCAGATTGTTCAGAGAGAACTGATTGGGGAGATGAAGATCCTTCGATATTTCTGCTGACTAATGTGAAGCAGCTACAAGGAGAGTTTCAGGTCACTAATGGCTATGGAACTGAGCATGCGCCGGCGGCGATGATGGTGAGATAATATTGAATTCTCCGATAATGGTAAAGGTTTGATGGTTTAATAATAGAGATCGTTTGGCTTACAGAAGCATTGGAAGAACTTCATAGTGAAAGATGACTTTAAGTTCATGTCGGAGAATGGATTGAATGCGGTGAGGGTTCCGGTGGGGTGGTGGATAAGATTCGATCAGAGCCCGCCTCACCCCTTTGTTGGGGGATCACTGCAGGCATTGGACAATGCCTTCTCCTGGGCAGAGTGAGCATACAAACATACTACTTAACACCTATCTATTTACATATCTAACACTTAAATTTCAATTTTTA